ATTTTTTTTTTTTTTTTTTTTTTTTTTTTTTTTTTTTGAGGGTTTAGTGTTTAAATGTATAATACTGTTGATTTCTTTTTATTTTTAATTAAAAAAAATTTTTTAGGGTTTAGGGTTTTTCTAGGGTTTAGGGTTTAGGGTTTAGGGTTTAGGGTTTAGGGTTTAGGGTTTAGGGTTTAGGGTTTGTGTACAGGTACGTGCACCCAAGTGAGACGGCTCAATTTGGTGGTATAAGAGGACGACAATTAGCCTTCTCTGATGAGGGGAAGTACGGGAAAATGTTACGGTCTTTTTATGCTGCAGTAAATATAAATGGTATAATATTTACGCATGCAGGTATATCTCCTTTATTTGCTGCAGTGGGGCTGCAGCAATTGCAGCAGATGCTGCAGCAAGAATTAGCAAATGGTTGTCGTATATATTATGAGAAGCAGAGGAGACAAGAGGAAGAAAATAATAATAAAAAAAATAATAAAATAAATAATAATAATAATATAAATAATAATTTATTTATAGGGGGAGGAGATGGTCCCCTATGGAGTAGATTATACTTATTATCTCCTGCTGCTGTTGCATGCCCGCTGCTGCAGCAAGCGCTGCAGCAGCTGCATGCGCAAATAATGATAGTTGGGCATACAGTACAGGAGACACTAAGAATAGAGACACATTGTAGGGGACAACTTGTTGCTATAGATACAGGTATATCTAAATATGTTGCTAATTCTCCGCATGCAATAGAGATCAGCCCCAATGGAGATATATATGAGGTGGCTGTACACCCCAAACAGCAGCACCAGCAGCAGCAGCAGCAGCAGCAGCAGCAGCAACAGCAGCAAGGGGAGGGAGAGGAGGAGGGGGAGGAGAAACCTTTTATTGTATCTAGACGTAAATTAGATACTGCTCCTCTCTCTTATTATATACAGAAAAGGGAGAGGGAAGAAGCAGCAAAAAGGCAGCAGCAAGAACAAGAGCAGCAGCAACAGCAGCAACAGCAGCAACAGCAGCAAGAAGAAGAAGAAGAAACAGAGAGACAGGAAGAAGAGGAAGAAGAGGAATTATATCTAGAGGAGGGAGAAGAAGAAGAAGAAGAAGAAATAATATTTAACACTAATAACAACAGCAGCAACAACAGCAGCAACAGCAGCAACAGCAGCAGCAACAGCAGCAGCAACAGCAGCAGCAGCAGCAGCAGGAGCAGGGTAGCACAAGAAGAGCTGTAGGCACTAGGGGGCCCTCCACCGCCAGTGGGGGCCCCAAGCTGTGATGACCTTATTATTAAGGATAAATATTCTTATTGTCATTAATTTATGCAGCAGCAGCAGCAGCAGCAGCAGCAGCAATTGCAGCAGCTGCAGCAGCAGCAGCAGAAGTAGCAGCAGCAGCAGCAGAAGTAGCTGCAGCTGCTGCAGATGCTGCAGAAGAAGAAATAGCAGCAGCAGCAGCAGCAGCAGCAGCAGAAATCGCAGCAGGACATACAATATCGCATCATCATCGCCCGTTGCTGCAGCAGCAGTAGCTGCTGCTGCTGCTGCAGTTGCTGCTGCTGCTGCTGCTGAGGAGAGTAGGCAGCGTAAAGAGAGCACTAATAATTTGTTCTCTTTCTTTATTTTATTCTTTTATTTGCTCATCTAATTATATACTAATATATATATATATATATATA